CCTTCGGCTCGTGATATAAACCTCCCACTCGCCAAAAAACACTTTTTTGCACTCGTTACGAAATATACTATTTTTCTATTTAATGATCAATGATCATATTGATCATCATATCAATTATTCTACATCAATTTTCAACTAGCCGATCGATGATCGGCTTCGCGCGCCCCCTATGTGGCTAGAAAAATCTAGAGAATAAATATATGATTGTGAATAAAGTTCTTCAAACACTGATTAAATAAGTAAATGAACTGGATAAAACTTTATTCAAGAAAACTCTTTACACAATTATGACTATGTTTCAAAAATGTAATCGATATAAATTTCTGTTTGCCCTTAGGGGATCTCTGAATCTCAGAGTATAATAAAACGCATTCTGTCTATCTATCCATCTACAGAGAAATGCTTATCAAGAAATATGTCGTTCCCCAGTTACAACATTGCTATCATATCATTATTTCATTTAAGGATCCAATTCTTGTCTGTGTTTATGGAATAGCCGAAGCGAATAACTACCATCCCCCACCCCGTGTAAAACGAACATTTTTCGGAAGCAAATCAGATATGGCAACAAGCAATTAATATACACCCTAAACGACTTTTTTGATGTCACAAACCTTAGAATATATTTGACCTCCTTGGTGAATGTGATTTATATCGAGTGTGAATAACGACCAAAATCAATAACATGTATTGTTTAAGAGGTGACTAAGAGTTTTAAAAGTCGCGAGCAGTGAAATGAAATTAAAGATGGATTATATATGTCTAAAAACAACTAATTAGTACAAAAAAATTAATTGTTTATTGTTCGTTTGCCCCGCAGACACTCAAAATATTAAAAATAGTCCAGGGCCTCCAATTTTTGAGCTACAGAGGTTTTTTTTTCAAAATTTTTGAAAAAATGTGTGCAATAGCAATTACGAATTAGTTTTTTGAAATTCAAATCTTACACAGCCAATTTCGTTATTTCTTTAATAAAAAATTGCACTATTCATGTAAAATATCTTACGAAAGAATCGAGAATATATTTTAAATATTTTAAGGATAATTTCTCTGCCTAATTTACATGAATGATGCAAATTTTTATATTAAACAAAAAGTAATTAGCTGTGTAGGACTTGAATTTCGTAATTTTTGTAAAAATATTTTTTCCATTATTACGTTCTACCCCTTCATCGCAGAATAAAATGATTGATAGACAGATCATGATCTCATGAGTTTGTCAACTAATAATTGATGATAGAATGCTCAGAATAATCATGAATAAACGATAAGATTATCAACGTCGAAAATAAATAAATGTCGGAAGTACTCGAATTTCCATAAACATGAATTCCTGTTTGAGAAACATTTAATTTCCATAACTCTATATCAACATTCAATATTATTCATCTCTTTACTACATCCGTATTTCACGGAAATTAAATACCCGCGGTAGCAGCACGGAATACACTGTCTTTAGATTAGAAAAATTGTACAAATTATTGACAGAGTTCCACCTTGGAGACAGCTGCAAGGTTACCCAACAAGTAGATACGCCAAACGATCGACTCGGAGGCGTCAGACTGCGCAATGAGTGAAGTAAACCCCCGAAGTCATTAAACAAACGTTCTCCCCCAAGTAGTTCACTATTTTGAACGAAAATAGCCGAGGCATGTGCACAAATCTGCGTCTCACAGTTTACCAAACTCATCGAAAACAGTCGATCAACTGTTCTAATCCTCTCTCTAATACCATGACAAGCCAAAATTAATTATTGAGGGGAATTGAAACGCAATAGGTTTTTATCCCGTGAATATATTTATAAAATTGATAGTTATTTTATGCGTATCTTCGAAATTCAGAGCCTAGGTCAGCATGTGAAAATATCCAAGGACGTTTTTTGTGGAGAATGTCATGGGCTTACGAAAATGTTTTTTTGAAATTTTTCTATAAATCGACTTGATTCCGTGTATGATAATTATGAAATTGATGTATGATTAAAAAAGATGAACGCAATATGAAGGAAAATATTATTTGCTCCGATATCTCCAGTCATCAAGATTTTTAAAAAACCTTTTTGATAGAGAATTTCATTAGGTTTAAAAGATCCTGTTAATGTTTTCCCTGGGCACTAGCTTTAAGGATATTCGCAAGAATGTCAGTAAGAAAATAACAAACTCAAACCATATTTCCTTAATTTTCCGAATCAGCGCTTTCTAATAAAACAAAGGTATTTCATTTTTATTTTTAAAACAACGGTATCTCAGAATTTCTGAATAAACAAAGGTATCTCAGAATTCCGTATAAAGCTCATTTATCTCAATTTTCCGGAGAAAACTAATGTAACTTGGACGAAATAAAAAAAGACTTTTTCTGTAGTGCTTCTCACGATTTCTCGTCTGGGAATTGGTATTACATACTTCCCAAACTCGAAAACTTGAAAATCACTACAGAAAAATATTGTTCCTGGGCTGTTGCGATGGGGTTTTTTTACTCGTGTAGCGCTGGCCTCCGAGCCGTAGGCGAGGACTGGCCAACCACACAAAGAGTGAGAGATGAGAGTTAGCCAGGACTTATGTGTATAACTGCGCCTCGTAGAATCAGAATAATTCGAGGGTATGGATGGATTGGAGTTGTATGGAAGTATCGTGAAGTTTGAGGAATGAGAATAAAATAAAAGAATTGCTCAATTCTCTGGGTAATCAGGGTTACAGAGATTAGTATTTTTCCGGCCTGCTGCGATGGGGTTTTTTACTCGTGTGGCGTTGGCCTCCGAGCCGTAGGCGAGGACTGGCCAACCACACGAGTAAAAAAACCCCATCGCAACAGCCCAGGAACAATATTTTTCTGTAGTGATTTTCAAGTTTTCGAGTTTGGGAAGTATGTAATACCAATTCCCAGA